GAAACTTCATTGTTTTGACTGCAGTTAATATCTCTGCTGCTATTATAAAGGACACTTTCAAATGCATTAAGCCTTAGACTTCGAACATCAGAGACTTTGGACATACTCTTAAACCCTTCATCCCCTTTTATTTCTTTAGTTTAGCTTATTTTCAGTAGTGTTTAGTGTTTTGCTTAGTTATTAGATATAATACTGTGTGACTGTAACTAATAAAGGTACTGTTGTATTTTTAACCCGTGGTTTTTTGTGTTCATTTTACACAGTGAATGATTTATCACTCAGGTTGGATTCACTTTCCTTTCATCCAAATGAACAAAGACACATTTATTTGGTTGGTGATTAATAACTTTGCTAAGAGTCATAGCCTAAATTACTAAATTGGTCAAAGCAGAACTAAAGCAGTTCTCTAGAATGATTGGTGTTGTGCTTTTGGGTCTAGAGACAAAACCCAGCTCATATTTGCCAATGCTGTGGAAAAGAGAAGTGAGGAAAACTTTACACATGATGACCACACAAGAGTGGACGAGCAGGTAGCTGGTTTTCTAGAGACCAAGAACATTGTTATTGACTGTAGTCTTATCAAAGCATGTCATGCTCTTCCAAAGAGAAAACCCCACTCAATCAACAACTACTACTCTGAAATTCATTAGAGGAAACACAAAATTGGGCACATTATGCAGTGGAAATCATGAAATTTAACCAATATTTATTTGAATGAGCACATGACAAAAAGTATTGCAGACATTGCAAAGAACATTCATTTTCTTCGTCTACATGGAAAAATCTTGCTCAGGAACCCAGAGTGACAGTCTGTGGAAGTGGGGATTGAACTTGAAACCTCTGGGATCCAAGCACAATGCCCTAACCACTAGGCCACCCCTGCCCCCTAAGACTCAGCTACAGCCTGTGTCCAGTGCCAGCATGCTAAGTCCCAAGGCCACAGTAAAGAACCCTTAGAACCATCTCCCATTCCAAAGCAGCAGTTTGACCATTTTCATGTGGACTTGGTGGGTCCCCTGCCCTATCACAGGGCTTCACACATCTCCTGACCATAATCAATAATACCACCCAGTGGACTGAATTGGTCCCCCCGTCATGTATAATGTCAGCAGCAGTGGCCTGGGCCTTTCTGTCAACCTGGGTTGTATGTTGTGGCCCCATTTCAGACATTTCTTCTGACAGCAGCACACAGTTTGTTGGCTGATGGTCCAAAGATCTAGATTCACCTCAACACTGTGTGCAATCCGAAGGTTAATCGGTTGTGTGAGTTTTTTTAACATCTTATTGAAAGCTGTACTCTGTGATTCTTTGACTGATGGCAACTGGGTTGGCTTTCAATGGGTCATGCTTGGTTTATGTTCAGCCGCAAAAGAGAACCTTTGCACTTCCCCAGCTGAGCTGGTTTCTGGTCAGTCCTTGCCTGTCCTTGGGGCATTTTTACCTGAGCCCTTTCACCACGGGTTCAGTCGACGTTTTTTTTGTCCTCAGAGGGACTCCTTTCATGTTCCCATCCCTTTCCACCATTGTTTGCCCCAGTAATTTTTTCCAGAGAACATAGATACCTCTAAATGTGTTTTTCTTTGACTTGATGCACACAGAAAACCACTACAGCCTATGAACAAAGGCCCCCTCAGGGTACTTGAATCACGCCCTAAACATTTTTTTTTAGATCTGTGGGGGTGTAAAGAACCATCTGTATTGACAAGGTCAAACCCACTCAAGTTCCGGTGGATGAGCAGGTTGTGATGGCCCAGGCTTCTTCCAGAAGAAGACCTCCCTCCACTGCATTAAATGGACTCCTGTTCTCCCTCCAGGGATCATGATCTGTCGGAGCTTGACAATTTCACAGCCTTTCCTTGTTGACTTTGTCCTAAAGAAAAGAAGTTCCAGGATCTTTCTTCTGGGTCCAAAATCAGCCGTTTTGGGCATTTGTTGAGGCCCGAGGTTCTGGACTAGTCATTGACCCTAATGACTGTTCCAGGAGAGCGCAAGTTGTCGTCCACTACGGGACTCTACTCTCACTCAGTGGAGAGTATGTTTGCTATATATGTTTGCTGAACCGTTGCTTGTCAGTTGGAGTGGAGAAAAAAAAAAACATGTCGTCCTTCCACAATTTTTTTTTTTTTTTTGCACAAGCTTTGCTGTGTTTTTTTTTTTTTCCACTTTTTATACTGTCATTACACTGTCGCAAGTACAGAGAAACAAAATTCACTCTCCGCATTCAAAGCATCTCCTTAAGGAGCAGTTGGCTGCCATTGTGAGGCGCCTGAGGAGCAGTGTTGGGTTAAGGGTCTTTGCTCAGGGACCCAGAGTGGCAGTCTGTGGCCATAGGGCTTGACCTCAGAACCATTTGGATTCCAACCGCAATGCCCTAACCACTAGGGCGTCACTCCCCTGTTTTAAGTGAATTTGCTGAACTCTGACCTTTTGGAGATCAAGCGTACACACAGGAAACAGCTGATATCATCACTGGAAGACCTTTGCACTATTCTAATTCACAACACGTATGTTAATTGCTGTTTAGTTTATGCTGTAAGATTTTATTTCTACCTTTGTGCATTTGTAATTATTTTATTTTTTCACATTTTATTTTTATTTTCCAATCCTTTATACATTAAATTTTTTTCCATAACTATTCCAGTCTCCTAAGATCTTTTTGAAAATATTCATTAATTATTCATTTGCTGTGATTACTCAGTAGTTAGAAACACTTCATGGCTGCTCTACCCACCTCTAGTTACAGGAGACTACTTGCAACATTTTATCCTAACATTAACATGTTACTATTTGAATAATGAAACTTAAGTAAACGCATCACTAGTTGAGAGAGTTTCGCTCAAAAAGTGCATAAGTACGATGCACTGAGAAACTCATCATCAAACTATGGGTTTTAATACATTGGAATACATTTTAATACATCGCAGAGAATACATTTATTTATCAGTTTGTGCTTCATCCTCTCCTTAAGCAAGACCCTTCACAGTGTCTTTAAACAAACTAAATTGAATATAAACCTATCAACATAACGACAAATTCTACATATTTCACCCACAACACAATCATTGATTGCTACCAAATATTTTGAAGTTGGACATTACATTTTGGATCCAAATGGGACTAAAATAGCTGTAATGTCAAGTCCTAAACTATTACTTAGTTACCTTAATTAAAGTGATAAAATGTTGTCAAGCGTCCCCCACCCAAAACAAAAATGTATTGTGTTTTGATTTAAACTAATTACATCTTCATTTTTTCTCTTTTTTTATACAAACAAAGTAACTGTTGACAAATACTTCCTGTCATTAGCTATGATCATATAGCTGTCATTTTCCTTTTACTTAATAGTACAAGCAGGGGCTAGCTGTTGTTGAAATTTAGCCTGGGAGCTTGGTGAGGGAGAGTCATTTAAATCAGTTCCAATTTGGAACCATGATTTTAATACGACCATTTCATATGCATTATAGAAAAGTTATATTAAACAATTAAAACAAATACCTGAATTTATTTAAAGATAAAGAAATAAAAACAATTATTATCTTATTAATCTGTATAAAACTTGACCACTGCCCACAATAGCGTACTTATGGGAATACCAGTACCAATGTTAAACATTTCAGAGTTAGAACTCAAATGTATAATATAAAAAACAACATACGAAATGCACTACAGACACAAACTAAATAAATTACTTAACTTGTTTGTATTTTTTTAGCTTTTAAAGCTAAGTATATATAAATATGTAAACAGAACAGAAAAACAGAGTATATATTTATTTAAAAGATTTCTTAAGTATGCACCTTGGTCTGGAAAACCCTAAACAGGACTTCTCAAGCTGACAAATGTTTAATCAGAATTATTTCAATCTCAGCTAAGAAAACTTTGACAAGAAGATGGCATAAAATAGACATACCTAGAATGAAATTAGTTTAAACTACTAGGCCACAAATATTTGTGATGGAAAGACTTGTCTTGACTATATCTTGACTTGACTATGTCTCTTGCACTTTAATGAAAAATTGAATAAATCTGACTAGGCTTGGTTTAAATGCACACAATATATCCAAGGTTAAAGAAGAAAATATGTTCATTACTTTACACATTAATCAACCAAATTTTTGAGAAGTGTCCGTATAAGTAGACTTTCCGGTAGTGTTTCACCTATACTGATACCAGTATCGGGCGGGGCCCCGATCCATCACTAAAATGGTGGTATCAGTATAGGTGAGTACCAACAAATAGAGCACCGATACCATTTTGAGAGCCAAACATTTATTCAACTATTATCACCCATTCCAGGTAGGCAATAAAAAGCTCTATTGGATTCACTTTGTTTTAGTCTTTTTCTTACTTCACAAAGGTAGGCAGCAGCTTGACAAAGCCATGAGGGCAATTATTTTACATCCAAGTAGTATGCAGTTGTTCATACATATACACACACACATCAATCTCAAACAGATGGTATGGTATTGGTATCAGCCGATACTGCATAGCCAGGTATTGGGTATCGGGCCAAAAAAGGACATCGGACAATACTACCTCCCAGCAATCCTTGTTTTGACTCCTGACCTTAACCTGTCTGGTTCCTTTTTTCTTTTGCCTGCCATTCCTCTTTTAGATACCCCTTTTAATTTCACATCTGTAGACATTGATGTCCTGCTTTCAATAATGACCAAGTGTATTTGCTTCTTTTCTGTCTCTGGATGTTCTGTCAGTAGTGTTTACAACCACTTTGACCTGAATTTAAAGCTACTCTTTCTTTAGTTTGAATTTACATATAATTGGGATAAATCAATAAATATTCATCGTCTACTGATTTTCTTCAGGCTCTCACCAGACCTGTGTTTAGATCAAATAAAACTTTTAAAATGAAACCAATTTTAGGAAAATGTAAGCTGTGGTAAACATATTATGGTGAGCAAACAATACATAATAGAATATAAATACAAATAAGATCTTCTGAGAAGGAAAACAGAGAAAGAGGTGGATTGAATCACTCTTACCTTGAGCATAATCACAATGAAGTGTAAAAGTCACTACAATAAAACAAAAACAAAAAATTATTAATAGAACAAAATATCTTTTTTTAATTTGTAAAGTGAAACTGTCAAAGAGGGATCCACAAAAAACACAGAATAGAGAAATCAGGTTCAAGCTGAACAATTAAAAGTGAGAAAAACATTTTTTTTCTACGACTAAACCTGGTCCTAAGCTTTAAATAATGGCCTGTTCTTATTCAGTGAGCCAGACTTACAAGAAACAGATTTTAGTTTCCCATGAATAGAAACATATCAAGTGGTGTCAGATATATAAAGAGAAAATAACGCAGACAATTATTAAGGGCTGCAAGGGAGATTATTCTGAATTTTCACTCACACACGACTGAAACTTTAAATAGCTCTCATACACAAAAATACATGGTCATTCACCTGAACAATGAAATGGACTAGACTCACAACACTGAGACTTCCTATAGGAAGGGTCAAAGCAGACTCTTCATGCTGAGGAGACTGAAGTCTTTTGGAGTGCAGGGGGGCACTCCTAAAGACCTTTTTTGACAGTTGTGGCATCAACCATCTTCTATGGAGCAGCGACTTGTTTGTAGCTGAGAGAGAGCGGCTGGATAAGCTGATCAGGAAGGCCAGCTCTACGATTGGATGCCCTGTGAACTCAGTGCAAGAGGTGGGAAACAAAAGGACCCTAACTAAAATAACATCTCTGTTAGATAATGTTTCCCACCCCATGCATGAAGCTGTTGCTGAACTAGAAAGCTCCTTCACTGACACGCTGCTGCGCCCTAAATGCACAAGGGAGTGTTATCACAGATCCTTCCTCCCAACAGCTGTGAGATATTAGACTTAGACTTTTTTATTGGTCATTTTGTATGCACGGAGTGCATACAGAACGAAATTGCGTTGCATACAGCTTATGAACATTGCATTGATATTTCAAATGAGATGGAATACATTTCCGGATTGTTACACACAGGTTATACAAAAAGCGCAGCAGTGGTCAAAGTGTAAAGAGTGCAGTGGATAAAAACAGTGTGCAAATTGCAATGGTTCAGTGCAAATAGGCATTTGTGCAAAAATGCGTTATTTCCTTCGGTTGAGAATAGAAATGAGATAAACTGAGAAAGCTGAAAGTTAAACGCTCAGCAGCATTTGATGCCCGATAATGTGCAATAGGTGCAGAGTTCGGTTTGTGGATCAAAGGTTCAACAGTCTGATGGCAGTATAACCATCACTGTTCCCAGCAACCTTAATAAGTTGTTACATTCATGCTGATTTTTTCATAGTTTCTGTCTTAGTCAGTTAAAATATAAATATAAGAATAAATAATGAATAGCTGTGGACATTGTTACAGTAATGCATATGTGAAAATAGCAGCAACACCAGAGATATGCAAAATGACCACAGCATGTTATTTAAAAACACTATACAGAACAGTTTTTTGTTTATTTTCTTATCTCTTTCACCTATTCTGTTATTTTTATATATTTTTTATAATGTCCACATTGTGTGACCACTTCTGCTATAAAGTTTTGCTGTTGCTGTAACGCCACAATTTCTCTACTGTGGGAAAATAAAGGGATTCTCTATTCTACACACTACTGAAACAATGATCAAGTTTTTCTGAGGTCATTCATTTCACAATACATCAGAGAATAATGTTTGAAATAAAAAAGGTCAGACTTAACTACATTTTGGTTTAAACTGTTTACATTGGCAAAATTAGATCTTTTAAACTGTGGGTAAAGACTTCCTATTATCATCTATGACCTAATTTAGAAATGCTTTTCATGCCTACTCTTTCAAGCTTCCTCCTTGGTACTAAACCACCATTGTTCATCAAAACATATGTAAAACTCTCACTTTTTGTCCACTAAGTCTTTAGGTTTTTACTGAAATATCTTTTTTTTTAACTGCAATAAATCAGTGATGGAGGTAAGAGCATTTCAGTCGTGTGTATAAGAACATTTAAGTATAATAATGTTTCAATATGTAGTATAAGGGCTTATAGGCTTTCAGTAGTGTGTGTTGAGAGCAAATTTAAAATAATTTTCCTCAGAATTTCCTCAGAATTTCGTAATCATAACCTCATCACCGGCTTTGTCAACCTCCTTTCATCTTTTACAAGACTAAAAGCAATTAGTGAGCTTGAATCAGCAACCAGCTTCCCATCTCTTGTATAACTGATCTATCTGCTGGATCTTTCTGAAGTGATGCTGCTGCATCAAATCACACTGGTTACCAGCTGCAAAAGTCAGGGGTAACAAGAACTTGTCACATATTGCTTGCACAGATTAACATGTTCAAGTCCTGTATAATTTGAAGTGTCATAATTTATAAAATGGTACTCAGTTTTTCAGCTGACAGTCTTGGACTATAATCTACACAGTATGGAAATAATTGATGCAATAGATTAATAGGAAGTCAGTAATATACTTACAGAAGAAGCCCAGCATGCAGAGCAAAGGGTGCCCCATCCTCACCTCCAGAACTGCTGCTCAGAAATAGTTAAGCTGTTTGCTCTAACTACAATTTTGGAAAAACAAGAAGTATTAAATGGAAATAAAACCAAGTATTTTCAGACTTCTTTAGACACCCCTGCTCTGCATGTGTTTCCTTCCCCTTTTTTCAAAGCTCATAAAGAAAGTAGCAGCAGCTTCTAAAAGTGATGTGTTAGAAACAGATTTCCTCCCACAGCGGAAACTTATCAGTTCGGTTTATGGGCAAATAGCTCGGCCAAGTTCAAAACACTTTTAAATGTAATGCTCTATTCAATGTTGGAGGTTTTTAGTTTGTAGCTCCATAAGCACTTAATGGGATGTTTGTTTTTAATTTTTGGCCAAAAAGACTTGGCAAAATCTGAGTTTTATATTTATTAATCTGCAATGGATACGTTGCAAAAAACAATATCTTCTTTCTTGAAGAAAAAGTTTTTAATTCTTCAGCTGATCTCTGCCATCTACAATCTGTTTCTCCAGCTCTGCAGCATTTTTCCTGGAATGAAAATCTGTCGAACTTAAACACATTCCACTGTTTTAGCACCTCAATAAGGTTAAGTCAAATAAGGTTTGAAAGTTCTGTTTAATTGCTATACTGATTAAAAATTTATTTATAGTCTGTTTTTTTTTACATATTATTTTTGCTGTGTTTTTACGTATTATGTGAAAACTAATTTGACTCACAGTAAAGGCTGCACAGATCAACAGCAGTTGCTCAGACATTGTGGTTGAATTAGGATTTTTGAACTCAGTGCACAGGAAACCATGAATTGAATGGGTAGTTAAACAGAAAAAGGAAACCAAATCAAGGTTCTGTTCACACCTTGAACAATAAACTCCAATTTGTATAATAATAAAAAAAAGACTCTTACTTTGTTAGCTCTTCAGCTTTTTTAACTTTACTTTGGAGACAGTAATTTTCATATTATAGTTTACACTAATCATAATCAATTCATTGTCATCATCTTGGCGTTAATGATTAACTTGGTTAATTCCATCCACCTGTCTGGCTCCACCAAGTTTCTCAGGTCTGTTCATCTCTGCCACCTGCTCTAATCTCTAGTTAACCTCCCTGTTCCCAGTCATCAGTGCCAGATCTTTTGAGCCTTTGGTGAGAGTTCTTTGCCTTTGGACCTCTGAGCATGCCTGTTTCTGTTCTGATCTATTTGCCTAACGTGTCTTCAGACTCCTGCTGGATTCTGCCTGTTTTGACTGCACTTGGACCTGCTTCCTGACATCGACCTGGATTTCCCTTCGGTACCTCTTCGGATCTCTGGTTTCCTGGCTTGGACTCCTGTGAACTTCTTCCACACCGGCTTTGGCTTCATGTTCTGGAGTATCCTGCCTTCCTTGGTCTGCTTGGATACGTTGGTCATCAAGTTCTGCAATCTTCAAGGCTTCGATGTCTGGAACTTTTTGGGCAGCGTTTGCTGCATGCTGTTGGCAGCTATTTGGCTGGAATCCACCCCTTCCTCTGGGCACGGACTGAACTTTAAGACCAGGTTAGTGATTCACACATTCGTAAACATCCTCCATCAGATTTACATGGTCGCTGACCCGAGTTTTCCCTCTGGAATCCACATCTTCCTCTGGGCATGGACTGAACTTTAAGAACGGTTTAGTGACTCACACATATCTAAACATCCTCCATAAGGTTTACATGTTCACTAACCTAAATTCTCCCTCTGCGTTTAAGGCAGAGGTTCCTGCCCAAGAGGTCCTGGTTTGCAGTTACAGCAGATGCTTTATTTATAATAAATGCTTTTGATATTTTGTTCTGAGCCTTGACATTCATATTCCTTTCAAGTTTGTTTAATAACAATCAGCACCTCATGAGGTAGGCCCTTCTAATGCAGGAACAGAAATTTTATATTTGTCATAAAAAAAAATTTCTTGCTGGTATCAAGTTTTTAAGTATGATTCTTTGAAAATGAATCATACTTTAAAATGTTTGACTTTATGATCACAAAACGTTTCTTGTAATTTATATTATAGCTGTTTAACACTGGAAGCAGTGGTTCAGCCTTAATTATGGAGATTAAAGTGTGACAACCCAACCTTGGGTTTGGCTATATCAATTATTTGATCTGCTTTCCTAAAACTGCTCCCTGTATGACACGGTATGTTCTGGCTTGATGTATTCTCCTCATTTTTTTGTACTTGTTCACTGTGCTGATGTCCTCTTCTCTATCTGTGTTTATTTTTTTTTTAAATGGTTAAAAGGTCCTTCTCTAGCAAGCAGCCATCTTGATGGGTTAGTTTTAAGGTTTTCAGCGATTGCTAAGGTTTGTTTTTTGGTACGTTATTGTGGATCATCCTAAGGGGTCACCAGGGGGTGGCTGAGGCCCCGTTTTGGCCAGCTGTTGTTCCCACCTGGGTGACACCATGCAGGTGGCTCTTATTCCTTCATCAGTGCTGTGTATACGTATCACTAAGATCAGGGAGATGTGGTAATTTGAGTTTTGGGTTACCCTATCTGATTTACATTTTTGAGGCCCTATATATATCTCGCAACCCACCTGCTGGACACAATTGATCTGCAACAGTACTGTAGCGGTGCATACGCATTTGACCTTTGTTAAATATTCAAATGTTAAAATGTGTGTAATTTTTTGTCTATATTTATAAAAAATATAACTCTTTTTACTTATTTTTCATCATTTAAGATTTAGAAATAGATGTGGACACATAAAAACAAGGCAATAATTTCCCTTTCTGTGCCTTGATAATCTATCTCTGGTTAAAATCAGCAGAGCCTCTATAAAGTCACAGCTGAGACCCCAAGTTCCCTTTAAGCTGTTTCCAATACATCAAATAGACTCAATAAAGGCCTATCAACCCTTAATCCTTAAAGGCAAAGATTTGGTCCAGTGTTCCATGGTCAGGGCAAACACAACACTGTCCCTCCTAAATCTTAATATTAACAATAAATCAAGGCTGATCTTCGTTTCGAGGAGTTCATTAATTTGAAGATGAGGCTTTTAAATGCATTGTTGAGTTGTGATTGGAATAATTATCGAATTGGAAAACATTCTAAGTTACCTGCTTTAGATATTAACACAACTGGCTCTAGAAACTGCAGAAAAATAGAACTACTCAGGTGGAATACATAAAGTATTCATTCACAGGCATGAATTAGTGCTTGGTGTCACAAATATTTCTCCTGAAAACCCTTGGAAAACATTGTGAAAGATTGCCAGAGATCTGAGTTCATTTCAAAACTACTTAAAATATATGATAGGCCATTTTTATATATATCTCCTAATCTTTAATTACCATTCTTGTCATTTTCACTTCCAGTAAATACACATGCCAGAAAATTGGAACATATTTTTAGCTTTAAGTGTGCAACTTCCTCTTTTACAAACTGAAATAAAGCCACAAGTTATGAGGGAAAACAGATACTATGAGGTCATTGTATTAGACAAAAATTACGAAACCTGCTGTGGATTTGGAACGATGTATAATGAGTAAAAGCCAATGTATACCATATAAAACCACAAGCTATATTTTAACAGTAAATATAAACCATATCATTATAGGCATTGAAAATGGGATCAAATTAATGATACAATCCAAATAAAGCAGAGAGAATTATTGGCAAGCACAAAGGTAGAAAATAAAGATTTATAGGTCCTGAACAGTGATTGAGGTCTTCCTCATAACCATTTAAACTGATCTGCTTTCCTTTTTGCATATTAGATTTTTTTTTTTTTTTTAAGGAAGAGAGAATTGGGAACTGAAGCCAAGCCAGCTGTGGAACACACAGAATATAGATAACTGACTGAAACAAGATAGATAAGAAGATAGTGTTCCAGAACCAAAGTTGCATAGAGGTGAGCCTGACTAGTTCTGGTCAGCAATGCTTCACCTTCTGAACAAGCTCAGGTTTCTTCCCCTCTATGTCCGGTGATATTCCACATCTGCAGAGCCAGCTTAAGCTTTTGGGGATTAGATCTTTGACTGCTGCCCAATCCTCTTTGAACCCGTCCATTGTATTAGCCCACTATAAAAAAAAAATTCTAACAAAAAAAAGCATTTATGATTACATGTTTATCCTGGAGCAAATGTCACATCATGTGACTACTCTGCTGTACAATATTTGGTGCTTTAAGTTTAAATTCCAAAATAGCATGAGGTGAGCGATGTGCATTGAATGCTCTCGACGCATGGAGTTCACTGTTTGCTCCCCTTCACTGCATGGTTTGTCTGTATTGGGTTTTGTTGCATTGATGAACTTATAGAAACATGATAAAAAGATCAGATTTTTTATGTTACTTTTATTTTGAAGATTTGAGGGGAAAAAATGGAAGAAAGTTCCCATACCTGCATGAGAGTGCTACCTGTTCAATCTGTGGATGGTTTTCTATGCGTGCAACAAAACTAGCAGCAGTAGCAGAGTTTGGAGATACAATCTACTTCTTAAATCTATCTTTGCACTCCTCTAATTTATCCAGAAGTACTGCAATCGCATTTTTCTCTCCTTTCTACATTGGTGGTCGACTGCATATTTAACATGCTTTTCTGAAAATGCCTTTCCAAATTACTCTTTTTATAGCTTGACAACTTGACAAAAAACAAACATGCAGGCATCCTTCCGCATTTCTAATGAAAGCAATGATTCGGTCCATTCTTCTTTAAATCCTCTATTCTCATTTGCTATCTTTGTTTTTTTTTTTCCTTTGTGATCCATGGACCAAGACACACCCTCCGCTTGATTTAGAACAGACACCTGCCTGGCACCACGCCAAACTGAAATGTGTTTTGCAGGCTATGACACAAATCTTGAAAGAAGTGTTTACATTTATTTTAAAAATGTATTTATTATACAAATTTTTACTGCATCGGAAAACACAATGAATGTTTTTTTTTTACCTCCTGCACACCATATTAAAACAAACAAAAAAAAATAAGTCTTTTTCCCTTTTCATACATTTTTGAAAAAGCTCCAGGGAGTCACAAGGGGGCCATTAAAGACCCACATGTGAGAAGTTATAGA